AGTTTAGCCGTTCTCAGCCGGTTTTTTTTTGCTTCACATCGAAATTCGCGCTCCCTTATTTTCATTTTGACGCATTTCAATGTTGATTCTTTTAATTTTATTTGGATTTGCTTTATGTTTTCGCCCAATTCAATTTCTATAATTTTTCAAAATAAAAGAAAAAATGTTTGAAATGAAGTGAACCATACAAATTTTGAACTTATTTACTAAGCAAATGTTTTTTTTTAGATTTTGGGAAATTAAACAAGTTCTCTGCAAGAAAGGTTTGCTGAAAAAATACGTCTATATATATGGTATATGGGGTATGAAAGTATCCCTTTTTCATAGCAGTAAACCGTTTAGTATGGGCAACAATGATATTTTTCAAATAAGGCAGATCGGAATATGCGCTCTCTGGGAAGATAATACCGGTTAATATTATAACATGGTCAAAATGGCTTTTCTGCCTGTATTTATGTGCCCTGCTCCTTACCTCCTGCATATTTAATCGCTACAAAACGAATCACATAACGTCAGCAAATACAAAGAATATCTCGTCTCGATATGTGTTTTAAATATTTTTTGTTTGTTTTGTTTTTTATTATTAAATTAAATATATTTAATTTAAAGTTTTATCATTTGCTCTCCCAGTGTAATATTCCTGATCAACGTCGAACAATATTTTCTTCTCTCTCTATATGTTAACTTGTGTGCTTGTGAGTAAACGAAAAACAAAAAAATTTCGAATTTTAAATATACCAAAACAATTAAATAAAATAGCTAAGTGAGACAATTGGACAAGGCAGTCGGTTTGGTTTTGTTTTTGTAGTATATGTTGTTTTTTATAACAAAAATTTTAATTTAATTTATAAAATTTTCTCGGTTTGCTCCAAATTTTCGTGTGCGTGTGTACATACATATACTATGTATAAATATACTTTTTTTTTATTATGATATGAAAATTGTAAAAAGTGGTTTTTAAAATTTATTTAATAAAATATTAATTCAAAGCGCGTATGTTTCATCGACTTTGCATTGCATTAATGCATTTTTTTACTAGAAAAATGAAAAAGCAATTTAAGGTGTTGTTATTGCTGTTGTTGTCGTTAATAATTTTTCCATCTTCATTATGTTGTTGGTGTTTTTAACATTTATACAATTTTTTTTCGAATTTACAGATTGTTATAATATTTTGCAGTTGTTGTTGCAATTGCATTGACTCCATAGCGAAGACTGCGTGAGCAAACTTTTCTAGTACTTTTTGCTAGAAAAGCACCGCTGTCTTTACATTTCGCCGCAAACAATTTAATAACCAGCCAATTCGGCGAATGTGGAGTCCATCTCGTCGGCGAGCGACTTGAATCTGTCCTTGTTGACGCCCAATTCGTCTGTAGGGAGAGAATGAAAAAATTATGGGGTTGAGACAAAGGAAACAAGATATCTACTTATAAACAGAGAGTACAACGGTGTAAAACAAGTAAACATTTAAAATATATAGGCTGATATGCAGCTCTCAAGAAAACGGTCAAGAAAAAAATTTGCATTATTTCGTGTGTGTGTGTCCAAGCAATTTTGACAACTGGTACTTCACCAGCCTGTTGCCTCGCTGTTTCCTCAAGAAATAATAGAGCGGGCATATATTTCTGTTGCAAGCATGGGTTGCCTTGTGCTCTTTTTTAAAAAAACACGTTATAAAACCGTAGTAGAAAGCGTAGCAAATTTCTTAAGAACTGCGTCTGCCTCAAGAAAATTTTGCACACGAAAATCTCTTAGCCATTTCTTGTACGTCATTTTGTATGGATTTTTTGCCTTTCTTGAGAGCTGCATACTGGCCTTAAAACACAAAATAAGTGCAAGTTACAAGCAAGTTGCATTGAACGAAATAAAACGTTGCAAAATTCAGGCATTGTTGCACTAAAAATATGCAAAGGTTTGATTTATAACTAGGATGAGTACATGTAAATATGAATAGGGTGGAAATAATTAAATATATAAGTTCAAATATCATATTTTAATGCGATCAGTTACAGAAAACTAAAAATAAAAAATTTGTCTAAAGTGCCATTCTTTGAAAAAATTCTACTTTAAGTTGTTAAACCTTTTATGCCAGGAAGAAGGCGTTAAGTTTTCATTTTTCATTATTTTCATCTTATCATCTTTTTTCAGATTTGCATATCTTTTTATTCACTGCAAAAGATCATCTAACTTTCTCGCTGCATCAGAATGGGCAATAAAAATGAACGAGGCCTGATTGCGTTGATTTCCCAAGAAAAAGCTTCGACCTCTTCAAAAATGTTGTGTGAATACTATGGATATGCTAAGGCTAAGCTTCGTCGCGTAAGGAAAAAAACTTTTTTGTTGTATAAAAACAAGTATAGTTAACCGGATGTTACGAAAGAACTATGTCTTAAATATATTGAAGATTATTAAAGAACAAAGGATCGCAGAGAAATCCGGTTGAAGACATATATGTGTATACATTAGGGTGCCCATTGAAAATGTGTTTTCTTTTTGGAAAATTCAAGACCCTACCCTCTAATTTTATTTTTATGAGAAATATTATTGCCTATTTTTATAAATTTTTTAAAGGTCATTTAGAGGCCGCGACCTCTCGATTTAGGCCTCAAAATACGATTTTGTAGATTTATGAGTTTTTGAATAACTATTTTTGATTCGATTTCAAAAATCGAATGTGATCTGAGAAGAGGATATATAGGCCTTTAAAATGGTGTATAATGTTTTATTGTCGGACTTGGCTTGTTGGCATTTTTTATCGGGGAAAATAAAAAAATCCATATTTCTCTAATTTTTTTTTAAATTTTGAACATCGATAATTTCCACAAAATCAAAATATGCAGTACTATCTAAAATTAAATCTGTTTTTAAATAATCGGATAGCTCATTTATTGCAATCGCCTAAATATTGTCGAAGTTGGGCGACTTTTCTTAAATACGGCCTTGAATTTACATTTATTGTGTATTTACTGGATTTCAGATTTTTTTTTTTACCAGTGTGGCTAAGCAATTCATCAATATTCATTCAAAATTGATGTATACAATCAATCTTTAGAAAATAAGTGGGTTTTCAAGAAATTTTAGAAAAATGGGGGTGGTACCGCCCACTTGTATGATATATGCGTATCTCAAAAACTACTTGACCAAATTTGGTATACACATTGTGCTTAGCCTCCTTAAGTACTGTCTTAAATATTTTAGAAATCGCTGATGTTGAGTCCCTACCGTGAAGTAATACCCAAAGATCGAAAGCAACCTTGCGAAAGTTAAGGGGAAGGACAGGACATAATAAAATAATGTAAAATCCTTAACATAAAATTATAAAATTTTCACATTGTCACCTTGTAAAAACATTTAGGGTAAACTAATTAAAAAAAGGTTTCAAGCTAACAAAACTAAAAATACTACGAGGATTTTAGGTATTAACTAGTAGACATGTGCTTAATATATATAGATTATTATTAGATATATATATAGATATATACAAATGTACAAATGTACATGCAGCATCATATGTATTTTTGATTAGGTGCAAGCTTAAATAAAAAAAAAAAACAAATACCATATACACATTTATTTAACTAAAAAATATTAATTCAACATTTTCACCTTTGATACATTTCTACAGAATCTGGACTGACTATATCGGCAAATTGTATTTGCCTTCTCACATGTTTCCTTATTTCATTTTGTTGTTGTTATGTACACAGTAAATTTAGATTTGCTCAGCGGCAGTTGATTAGCAGATATTAAAAGCGCAGCTGACGAGCGTGGCGTTATGAAAAATAAATGGCTAACAAGGATGTTTATACTTGTTTATTTACAGTGTATTTGGGTGATTGAGAATGGCAGTTTCATTTGGTGAAGGAGAGAAATGGCGAATGCGCCGAACATTGGTTCTGTGATGATTTGTTAAGTGGGATGAAATTTAGTTTTTCACAGTGTATGTGTAATTTGGCCAAATGCCACTGATTCAGAGTGGCATTGAAGTATTGTTTGTGGAAATGGTCCCAATATGAATTTGTAAATTTTTGAATAAAGTGTAGGGGAAGAAATTGCGATTTGTTTTTGTGCTTTTTGACTTGGCAAAAATTTTGAAAACAACAAATTTAGTTGTTTGTATATTTGAATGCAATTGTCTTGTTGAGATTGAACGATATGCGAAATATATGGATATTTTGCAGTGAAATTTGATTGTTTAATATCCAGTAAGTTCGGCGAATGTTGAATCCAAATCATCGCAGATTGCTTTGTATTTTTCTTTCTCATGGAAGAGACGGTCTGCAAAAAGCATTTTAACGGTTTTTACATATTAATAAGCTGTATTAAAAGCAATCTAGAGTATAGTAGTAGAAGTAGTAAGAAATAAAAAAAAAAATCCACGAAAAATATTACAACTCATAGAAACACTACATCAACAATGTTGAATATATACAAAAAAGTGTTTCTATCCTTTATACAAAGTAAATACATATATACAAAAATATACATATAAAAAACTTGTTTTGCTGCTAAAAACGCATAACCAACAATTTCGTCAGTTAATTAGTTAAAGCTAAGCATTCATTATATTTTTATTATTATTTTTTTTAAGCATGATTTTCAAAAAAAAAAAACAAAACTAAGTATAATTAAAAAAAAAAAAGTCGCGCAAAAATATTTTACAAAAATTATTCGAATTTTCTTAATAAAAAATGTTTACACACTACGCAAAATCTTACCTTCTAGCCTGTCGACTTCCTTTTGCAGACGCTTCACTTGCTTCTCAGCGTGTTCGGCGCGCTGTTCGGCTTCCTTCAATTTCACGGACAGAGTCTTCATTTCACGCTTGAACTCCTCAACACGTTGGTTGGCCTTCTCCTCGGACACTTCCAAGGATTTCAACGAGTTACCCACAACCTAAGCAACAGATAACCAAAACGGAAACGTATAGCTGTTATTCTATCTGCGGAAGAGCGCATATTTTCCATCATTCTCACCTTCAATTCTTCTTCAAGTTCCATAATCTTGGCTTCACCGGACCTGACACGATCTTCAGCCACTTCCAACTCGTCTTCAACGAAGGCCAGCTTACGTGATACTTCATCGGACTTGGTATCAGCATCCTCAGCCAACATACGGGCTTCCTTCAATTGGTTGGTCAGTTGGTCCATACGTTCCTCATCCTGCTGTGAACGGTTCTCCAATACTTTGCACATACTAGATGCATTAGAATAAAATTTATGTTAAAGTTGCATAACATATATACTCATAATTAATGCATTTCACTAACTAACCGGTTGTTCTCATCAGCGGCTTGTGTGGCTTCCAGCAATTTCTGTTGGGCACTGGTGGAGCGTTCCTCGGATTTCTCCAAATCTTCCTCAATCTGTTGTACCTTACGGTTCAAGGTGGCCACCTCAGATTCAGTGGTGGTCAATTGTTTCTCCTTCTCTTCCAATTCCCGGTTGGCCTTTTCCAATTGCTCCTTGGAGGTGACCAAGTCAACTTCCACTTGTACCAATTTCTTCTCCAAATCGCGCAATTCCTCTTGCAATTTGTCGGCGCGGGCATTGGCATCCTTCGCTTGATTTTCACAGGTATCGGCCTTATCAACGGCGTTATCTTTCTCAAGCTTCATCGCTTGCATCTTCTTCTTGATGGCGTCCATGGTGTCTGTGTTTTTGTTTTACTTAGAGGAGGGAATAAAGAAATGAAGAATAACACTGCAAGAAAACAAAATGAAGATCGCATGGGTTAATTGATACGGCTATTCGAATGGTAAAATCACGTACATATTTAGCAAAGGCATATATATACATATCGCCGTTTAAAGTGCAAAAGCGCGTATCAACAAAATGCAAAACCGCGTATCAGCAAAAGGCAAAACCGCGTATGTGAAGTTGTAGAAATTATTTTCTAGAGCGTAAAAATACTCTTATTTTAAAATGGTTCTCTTTTTTATAAAGCAATCGCATTTATGGCTAGTATATTTCAGGACGAATGGATAAGGATTGAGCCAAGGGCTTGTGTGAGCAAATCCAATTTTTGGCTGCCAATGTCAGTTACGCGGTTTTGCAGAACGACGATACGCGGTTTTGTACTTTAAACGACGACATGCATGTATGAACATTAGGGTGGTCCAAAATGCTCTCCCCCCACAGGATTGTTCTATGTCGAAAAATATATACCCCTATTTTTATTTCGAAATAAAAAAATATTTAGAGCCCACTGAAAGTTTTCCATGCATTTTACATGAGGAAAAACCACTTTTCATAGAAATGGTATAGAATTTATGAAAATCAAAAATTTTCCGAGCGGAAAACTCTAGTTCTCTTTAGGGACTTCCAATAACAATATCCAATTGTTTATTTAACCATTTTTAATACTAAAGGTATTTTATTTATACCCCCATTGCATTTTCTGGCATCTACTAGGGGTTTTGGCGGACCTATAAAATATATAAAATGGTTAAATACATAATTGGGTATTATTATTGGGAATCTCCTGAAGGGGTACAGAATTCCGATCGAAACATACTGATTTTCAAGAATTCTATATCGTTTCTACGAAAAGTTGTTTTTTTCCATAATACTTTGAGCGACCGGTAAATATTTTTCGATTTCAAATAAAAATCCGACAGTGATTGCCATAAAGAAATTGAAGCGTATCTTGAAGAAAGTCAGAATAAGAAGAAAATATACTACGTATAGGTCCTGTTTAGTTTTTTTTCCGCTTGAAATATTTATATTCAAAAGAATCCCATGAACAAATAAGTGAGAAATGCAACCATGGGTACTAGCTGACAGTGTAATTTTGTATGTTTCTTTCTTTGGAAGTGTAAGATACTATATTCTCGTTTAATGCTTGCTAATCTTGCTGGATTTTCCAAACGAACACAACTATGGTTTCTATTCCTGTATGTAAATTGTCATATTATATAGCCGTATCAGTTTGGCGGGGATGCCAAAGTCCTTTTAGTGCTGTCGAAAACCTCTTCGCAGCCAGGCGGTAGAACATCGACTCCGTCATTATCGACTGGGGCCTCGGGTTCATCTTCTCGCCAACTTTCCGTGCTGCTTCCATTCAGTAGGATGGAAAAGTGTTCCCTCCATAATTTAAGTACGATCTAGACATCCGTAACTAGGTCGCCACTGTTGTTCTGGTAAAATTTTCGGGAATTTTTCCTGTCGGCCAGCACTTCAAGCCCTTCGCACTTACATATTTCGGCCCCTGCCTTCTTATTGCGGCAAATACCTCTCGCTTCCCTCTTCAGTTCCCTATAGCGGTACCACATTTATATTTTTTTCTCTGCATTTTTTTCCTGACACTCCTCAACATACAATTAGCTCTTTAGGGCTCGCTGAAATCCTACTACTTCTTCGGCGGCGGTACTTAATGAGCGGGAAATGTGATTCCATATGCTCGCATATATAGCGAGCCGCTTGTTCCAAGACAGACGCCCGCCTGCAGCCGCACCTACTGGTAAACAGACGCTGCAGACTTCAGTGAGTTCTTAAACCGAATAATTCGGAGTGGCCCAACCGAAGCTCCCTCTCTTTCTGCCGTGACCCAAATCTTCACTCGGATTGGTTACTGTATCTCGCACATGGCTTGCTCACGTTGCCCAGAGTGCGCGAATGAGGATGCAAGAGTCGGAATTGAGTGTAGCTGCATACCCAAAACAACTACTATACTCCATTATAAAATTACGTTGCGCAATACCACCAGCTCCGTCATAATTGGGAAAGACCTCTCCGAGCCGTTCGCCACCAAGCGGGATTAAAGACAGGGCGGCTCCCTTTCATGTGACTTCTTTAATGTGATATTGGAGAAGATAATAAGAGCTGAAGAACTGAACAGCTCAAGAACAATATTTTATAAGAGCGTGCAATTGCTGGCGTATGCCGATGACATCGACATCATCGGTAAAAAATAGCTAAGTCTGTTCTGCTTTTTCCAAAGGGGGATAAGGAAGCAAAGCGATTGGGTTCGCTGGTCAACGAGGACAAGACAAAGTATCTCCACGTCTCTGTTGACAGTTATAATTTCGAGAAAGTAGAGAATTTCGTTTACTTGTAAACCATAATTAACACTGATAATAATATCAGCATGGAAATCCAACGCAGAATCACTCTTGCCAACATGTGCTACTTTGAACTGAGTAGGCGATTCAGAAGTAAAGTCCTCTCTCGAAGTGCGAAAGCCACACTCTATAAGTCACTAATCATGCCGGTGTTGGTATATGGCGCAGTGCATGGTCAATGACAACATTCGATGACACGGCACTTGGAGTACTCGAGAGAAAGATTTTGAGGGCCTTTACCGCAGAGCTCCACAGGAAAACACCGATGGCCTAGCAACTGTCGTTGTGACGAGCAATATGATTTCGAGTTTTTGTGTGTCGGCACTTTGATGTCTTGATATAAGCATTCGCGCATGACGCTACCAGACAACATTCTCTCAATTTCGGTGTTTCCTGACACGTAATCGAAAATCATCCAATAGGGAATAGAATCTTATTTAGATTTAATATCAAAATTTCATCGATGTTACCACCAGCACGCTTTCTTTCAAATGAAAATATGGCTGCAAGCAATAAGCGCTGACATATATTTATTATTTCTTATATATACTAGCTTTCATTGAATATCACCCATCGAAACTTTGAAAAAGTGCATTGGGTCAAGTTAATAATACGCTGACCCAAAAAACAGTTCGCATCTCTGGCAATTTCATGGTTTGTACCAAATATGTGTCCACTCACCACTTTGCATTAATTTTTATTACAAAAATCCAATAAAAACGTTTCTGACCATTTTTCATTACATAACAGGAGCAACGGGCAGCTAACTAATCGAGTGCTCAACTTCTATACATTGCATATGTACAAATTGCATACGATTCCATACCGTTAAAAGCAAATCTAAATCGTGTATAAAAACAGCTATGTGCGGCGCAAATGTTGATCGCGTCGTAATTGGTAAAAAATTAATTTTTTTTCATAATTCAATAACATATTTTTAATATATATATTTTTTTTTTTAATACATTTGCAAAATATAGCCTATCGGCACCTGGAATCAGTTTTTTTGCTCTCCTGAAAAGTTATAACTGTTTTTGTTCGCGCAGTGACGATATACAAATTTACGATTATCGTCAATAATCACGTTCACGACGCAAAAGCAAAAACAAAAACGTATAAATTTTTGTTTTTGTACTCCTGCTATCACCTAATATTAATTAGCCTTGACGAGAACACTCCCATTTACTTTTCCAAATATTTCTAGTGCATACATAAATGCAAGCATGAAGATCCTATCTCGATCGAATTAAATATGTACTCCTAATAAATAAGTATTTGCAACTAATACTGCTCAAAAAACGAGCCATACAAATTGAACTTCCAGACGAGGGGAAAGAAAGAGTTGTTGGCATCCAGTTGATGATTTCGTTCACCTGTCTGCTAGACTAGTCGCCGGGCCCGCAGTTGATTGAACGTAAGGTGGCTAACGTAGGGTCTCGTCCATTTTTTTGTGCTTAAAGGAGCTCTTAAAACTTTGGAGATGGAGACCTTTGAACTTTGAGAGGCCAATATAATCGATATTATAATATACTAGCACCCGGCAAAATAATAAGGTCGCTCTATATTGATAAGTTTTGAATAGCAGTTAATTAAATTTTAAAATTAAATTACCTTTTTTTATAAAAATTAGTTCATTCTATAATTAAAAACCATAACAAAGTTGCATCAAAGTTTGGCACTTTGTATTCGAATTTTTACAAAATTGCCAAAAAACAACGGTATTTTGTAATTACTTCAAACTTTCAAACTTGCACTATGTATACTCGTATTAGACTAGACAGAAAAAGTGTGATATGTTTCTGATTTGACGGTCAATTTGGATGTTTAACTTTTTGGATTCTAACTGCTCAATTAAATAAATGTGGAATCATCTGAGTTCAAATCTCTGCCAAATATGTCCCAGCACAACCTCTACTACATAAATTACATAGAATAGAAAAAAGCTCGAAAGGCTATTCGGCAAGCTACGAAGTAATTAACAGCCGTTTGTACAAAAAAAAAAAAAACAAAGGAGTCATTAATAGTCTCAAAATATTGCCTTCCATCTGGCTTATAGCATTTTCCAAATGCTTATGCCCAAGATTATTTTAATGTTCTGGCGTAGTAGGAGGTTGTGTACATACTTGTACATACGTATGTATGTATGTATGTCTGTTGATGATCAAGGCACAAATAAACATTTGCAAGTACATATGCATGTATGTATGTATGTATATCTGCTATGCCACGATATCATATACTCCAAACTAACTTTGGACATTACCATATGAGTTTTCACACCCACATGTGTACATATGTACATACAAAACAACATTTCCGTAGATCGGACTAGCCGATCGATGAGAACTTGTGCTCGGTAAGCTTTCGTAGGAATTTTTAAAAATATTTTATTTTTTTTTTATGGAAACACCGTCCAGTAGGTGTTGATTTGAATGTGTATTAGTGAAATGGCTGTGTGGGCGATTGGAGAATGGTGTTTTTTTTTTATAGCCTCAGTGGCCCCTGTTTATGCAAATGCGCTTGAAATTCTAGAATGTAGCAAATTTTGGAAGGCAGTTTTCTTTTTTTTCGCCCCAAATAATGATATTGTTTTGATGGTATTAATTTAAATTTTAATTTTGGTTTGGTTTTAGGGACCATTGAGTGTGAGGTCAGCGTATTTGCATAGGCGTTGGAATATCTCGCAAGGGTCTAGACTGGTACATACTGATTAGCCGGATTAATAGGACATAAGAAATTGTGTTTTTTTTGTATCTGATTATGCAGGAAATCCAATTAACCGGTACACTTGTATTTTGAAATTTGTACGAGTAATTGATAAATACAAGCGTGTATAAATTAACCGAGGGATACTGTTCTATGGTTCTAAAATTCTGGAGTTTCAGGGAATCTTCGGAGTCATATAGCAAATAAAGGAAAAAGGCCTTTGTAAAACTCTAAAAAATGTACATACGCGCATAGCTTCTAAAATATTATGTGAAACCTCCCTTGGGCGGACACTCACCGTCAGTCATTTTTTGTCCGCCCAAGAGAGGTGTCCGCTTAATGGAGGGGAAGCCTATTTTAGAACTTTTTAATGTTTTATTTAATTGAATAGTCACTATTTCTTATTTGAATAAAAGATATTGATATTACATCGTTCAAACAAAAATGTGCATGTATTTTTTCAAAAGTGCACATTTGATTTATGTGCGTAAGTACATATTAAGTAATAACAAAATAAAAATAAATGTTAATTTTTAGTCCATAAACTACATAAAATCATAGATTCATTACATAAAAAACTGGGAAATTGTCGATTGACGTAAGTTTTATTTTTAATTTTTTTCAGTGGCAGTACCTTTTTCATCAATAGTTTTCATGTTTTTATCAGTCTCCAAGGGTTTCTGACAATTCAAATAACGAACCTAAACCACTGCGCAAACCAAACTAAATGTGTGCATAACAATCACATTTTGTGCGGGAAGTCCCCTTTTTCCATTTAGTAGTCCGCCTATGAGGAGTTCGCGTCCGCTCAACGGAGGTTTTTGTTTGATTTGTTATGAAAAGAAATCTTAATGTCCGTTGATAAGAGGTTCGCGTCCGCCCAATAGAGTTTTTGTGTAAATTTTATGCAAAATAACTGTCCGCGTCCGGCCAAGAGAGTGTCCGCTTAAGAGAGAGTAATTTGTTCCGAAATTTATACTCAAAACTTGGTATAGGAAAAAATGTCCGCCCAAGGGAGGTGTCCGTCTAATAGAGGTGTCCGTTAGGAGAGGTTTCACTGTATATTCATATCTGATGAACTTTCTAAGCAAGAACCGTTTTTGCAAATTATTTAAATAATATTTTTTTTTTAATTTTTTTCAGATCATAACGAGTGGTTAATAGGTACATACATATGTATCTACCTTTCAGTAAGCTCATTTATAAAAGGGGTCTATTTTCAAAGCTTGCGGATGCATACATACACATACATATGTAGGTACATTTTTAGGTGCGTTTATTTTAGATAAAATTAAAATTTTTGTGGGCGTAAAAAAATCGCATACTTTTATTCGTAAACTGAACAGAGGTGACGACCGATCGCCCGACAAACTCAAGGATAAATTTCGAATCACCGATTGCCAAAAAATATTATGAAAGCCGCGAGCGAAAGCTCAACAAGACGATCGGGTGGGTTAACATTTTTTGAAGCGAATACGAGTGCCAAAATTTGCTCAGCTCCACTGAAATCATAACGTATACACGCACGTATACACTTGAATGTAAAATAAAATTAAAAATATTTTACGTAGGTGGTGCTGTATGTGTAAAAGTGCAAGTGAATGTGTGTGCGTGTGTGTTTATGTGGCAGTGTGTCACAGAGTGAGCGCTGCTTGAGCTTATAAATAAATGGTTTAAAATATGCAAAAAAAAAAAAAAAAAAATATGTATGGGAAAGATATCAAAATTGTTTATGACAGGTGTTTCTATGTGTCACTAAGCCCACGTACCTATATAAATATGTATGTATGTATGTATGTACATAAATTATACATATACATATGTACATATATGTATGCATGTACTATGTGCGAATTTATGTATTATGTATGTATGTATGCATTGGAAGTGATCTGCAAGCCTATGCCTTCATTTACGTTGGCCAACAGCTTTCCTGCTGCTTTTCACGACCGTTTTACTCGCCGTCGTGTTCGTATTGTTCGTTTTGTGTGTACATGAATTTGAGATCATAAGTGTGTGTGCGGAAAATGGCCATAGGACCACTTATAAAAAAAGTATAGCAAATAGCAAATTGAAAATGAACAAATACAATCATACTTATACGGAAAAGTGTTATAAAATTTGCTTTTGTATGTACCTAAAAATTTAATTTTGAGCATGTATGTTTCGTTAGTATCTGTGCTATTCGGTTACAAAATTCCTTATAAGCGAATTGCTGTTAGCATAAAAAAAAATATTTTGTTTTTTTTTTTAGTATGAATGGCCTATGGTGGATGTAAAAAAAAATATTCTCATTTCAGCTGAGCCGTATTGCATAATATTAATTATTTTTATTTATTTTTTTTTTAATTAGTAGCTGCAGGTGAAAATTTCTCTGAGATACGTTCTTGCACTTAACATTTCTTTGAACGGCACTTTATTATCATTTGTTATTCCCAAGCACGCGCACACAGAATAATTTAATTATTTTAATAAAAATCGAATTTATAAATATGTATAGACTAATGCAAATAGTTACATATTTATGACCACCAAGTAACTTTCAACGCTGAAATTCTGTCTTTTACACAAAATCGCCGTATGCTTATTGTAATTTAAAACTTTTTATTTTCTTTTCTAATTTTTAAGAAATATTTTTTTATTTTTTTATTTCATATTTATATTAATTCAAAATCAATATTTAGATGTGATTAGATTCCCCAGTCGCTTTTAGAAATCCTTATAAGCGTCTGCAGGCGCAAACTAACCTTAGCGTTCCAAACACACTATACGCTGTCAAAACCCCGAGAACACTGATGCAAGACGAACTTTCCTAAAGCAGAAAGCCCCCAACCGATGGTGAACTGGGCGGCTGTATGTGCGATCTCAATGAAAAGTCACAAACACTATGTACAATTGTTTACATATAGAAGAAAGTTCTATGTGTGCATATGCATATACTTGCATGTATGTACATACATATGTATGTAATTTTGCACCCATACCCATAGAACATTCGTTGTGAACATAAGAAATTTCTCTGATTTTTCCGACGTAGGAATTAAATTTCGAAAACAAAAAGCGCAGAAAGGAAGAGCAACATCAATTTACGCCACACTCGCAGTGCTCTCCCGCAAAAGAAAGAACTTTTAAAGAGCAATTGTGTGAAAAAGTTTGAAAACTTCCCGATTCATGCATTTTGAAAATTTCCCAGCTACATATGTATGTATGTTTGTATGCATGTATGTATGTACGTAGATCGAAAATACCCCTAACGATATATTTAGGAGTGAGTATCTTATTTCTGTAACGAATCTTCAAAGAAAATTTAGTGAAGTGGTTGACACGAACTCGAAACTAAAAATGAAGTAAGGAAAAGTAAGGAAAATTCTGCTGTAAACTCTTCACATTAGAGCATAATTTTCATTGCTATACCGATTTCCTTCCAAAATTTCATAAAAGAATCGTAATGTGCACAGTTTATTTTATTTAAGAAAATTCGACAAAAAATCGGATAAGATCTTTACGAATTCTTTAAAATTTCTTTACAGTTCAGAATGCTCTGAGAAAATGGTTTGCGGGGTATATACTTGGATGCCTCCGCACGCATAGGCACCTGTATATTTGCTCTTGCTTTTACACATACATACCCAGTGGAAAAATGGAATACATACATGGTAATCGGAAAAATAATCAGTAAAACAGCCCTTTTCATATTGGAAAATGCAATTGTACGCTGGCGTATGCCGACGACATCGATATTATCGGTAAAAATAAGGGCTACGTCTGTTCTGCCTTCTTGGGATTGGATAGAGAAAGAATATGTGATTTTCCAAAATATTGGAAACAAAGAAAACAATCCCAGCGAGTGTCCAGTTAAATTCATTCTGCCTCCTTATTATTTCAATAAAATTTCCCCTTCTAAGTGAATATGGTATGGCCAGCAGTAAGTACAAATATTTATTATCTATACTGGTAAATTTTTAAAATGAATGTGTTTACATGTAAATCTTAGTACTAGTATTTCATGTTCCAACATGGATATAATAACTGTTTTGCAGTTTTTTCGCTCTTTTCCTAGAACTAAAAATTAGGTAACACAATTGTGTTGCTTGGGCTTAAGTTAAGGTTTTCGTGCAAACTCACAATTGTGTTAGCTGATGAATTTCAGGCAAAAATATAGACTTATCAAGGGATTCCGACCTTCAAATGGTCTTGGACATACTTGAGAATTCCGATGCTAGCTTTTCATCTGACGATGATCTCGAAAATGACTCCTTAGCGCTGGAACAAATGGAAGAAAGTGACAGTTAGGGACACGAATTTCGATACGATACGATACCATATCGATACTTTTGGCATTCGATACCGATATATTCTACTCGATAGTTTTAAAACGATATTTTTGGGAATCGAGTACCAGAACCCTGGTATCGTATCGAATGTCATAAACTCACATTACAAGGATAATGTTATTAACAATTCTTCCCGATATAAATTGGGCTGTTAAGAGCAGAAATGTGTAATATAGTTAGGATTGCATGTGGTGGTATATGAACCCGCGACCTCGGTGTTTTAAGACAACACCTCAATCTCTACGTGTTGTTACACAATATGTTAATGTTTGACCGAGATTCTCCTCCGATTTGTCAAGTGCGCCTTAAGTTCTGAACACATTAAAAACGACGAGCTACAGGCCACAGCTTCCAGTTTGTTATCTTCATTGTCTAAACGGTTTTCGATGGCGACATGATTTTTTTGAATGCGTCGACGACATCATGAATTTGTACGAGTTTGACATAAAAGAAGAGGAAGAGCCTTATCTGTCGCTGGAAAAATAGAAATGGATCTAATCTGGCCACAACCACAGTCGTCGCGTAGTTTGACAGCTATGGTCCATAGCTCGTCGTTTTCATTGTGTTCTGGCTATTAATGTTGTGGCACAAATGGGGTCCCTACAGTTTTATGTCGACTTTGAACGGCGATTTTGTTTTAATGGGAAGTTGTTTTTCATTTTCAAGTTTTGAGCACTTCTACTCATTACACCACAGAGGCCTATATACGAGACCTATATTCATATAATTTTTTTGGTTTTTGGTATCGATATTTGGAATATCGAGTCTTTTTATTCCGATATTAATGGGTACCCGATATTTTTAAAGCGATACTTTAAATGAGTGCCATATCGATTCTTTCTGTTCGATATCGTGTCCCTAGTGACAGTTCAGATGAAGATGACTCAGAAAGAGGTATTTTTCTAGTTTCTGTAACTTTTATTTTCATTTTGCCGTGTTAATTTTCATCTTAATAATTATTGTGCCTGCAGATTTAATTCCAGAAAATTTCGTAATTAATCAAAAAGCCACTACATCACAAAGAACTTATCTTTGGAAAAAAAGGAATTCGTGGTTCACGATATTCCTATCGTGCAGGGCTGTGAGAATTTCATTGAATTTGGAACACCTCTTAATTACTTTTCGAAGTATTTCACAGAAACCCATTACACGGATGCCGTTAAATATACCATAATGTATACTCTCGCGATATCTGGCACCGAAATGAGCTTAACCGAAACCGAGTTAAAACACTTTTATGGCTGTGCCATTATAATGTCCTGTTTAGGTTATCCACAAATGAAAATGTATTGGGAAGACAACTATAGGTGGGAAATAATTGCTGCATCCATGTCAAGAAATAAATTCATGAGATTTAGAAACACCATTCATTTTGTTGATAACAACAAACCAAGCGAAACGAATAAGCTATGGAGAGTTCAGCCCGTGATTGACCTGGTAAGAAGCCGATGCAATGAACTAGCGTCTGCGGTTACTTCATACTCTATTGATGAGCAAATAGTCCCGTTTACTGGTAGATGCCCAGCCAGGCAAGTCATCAGGTCAAAACCACGCCCTGTGGGTTTGAAGAATCTGGTTTGTGCTACCTCTGATGGACTTATCGTTGATTTAGAATTATTTCAAGGGGCTGGAACTTTTCCTGACTGTGGACTGGGTCATGGTCCATCAATTGTTTTAAGACTTACTAAGTGTCTACCAAAATGAAGTCATCTTTATTTCAATAGATTTTTTACCACCATGGTGAAGATGAAAGATATTGGATTCAAGGCGACAGGCACCAGGCAGGGTAATCGCTTAGGAAAAAGAATTAATTTTCCAGCAGACGAAGCTATGGCGCGTGGCAATATGCACCAATTTGTTAAAGATGACAATGTGGCTGTTGTGAAATGGTGTGATAGAAAATGTGTTACAATTGCCTCAACAGCATGTGGAAAAGACCCGATCGGCGAAGTAAATCGTTGGGTGCGAAATCTAAAACGACGGTTGCCAGTCCCAATTCCCGCTGTTGTCCAATTATATAATTCTAAAATGGGTGGAGTCGATATAGCTGACCAAATGATGGAATACTATCGCATTAAAACGAAAATTAGAAAATGGCAAGTCAAAGTTTTCTTTCATTTTCTTGATTTGGCTATATACAATAGCTGGATGGAGTATAGAAAAGACGCAAAGATGCTCGATGTTGCGAGAAATAAGATGAAAAAGTTTCTTGATTTTAAAATGGAGATTGGCGAATTCCTGGCAAAGTACCAAGGTTCTCCATTGGAAGTATCACCATTCGAGTTGCCCGAGGACTATCATGAAAGTAAATATCGCCCACATAACACTCCGGATATAAGGTTCGATAGGTACGACCATTGGCCCGAATTTGTAGATGGAACCGCAAAGAGGTGTCGGAATCCACGATGCGAAAGTCGACCCAGAGCTCGGTGCCAAAAATTTAAAATACACTTGTGCCTTGCTAAAGATAAGCAATGTTTTAAAGAATATCACTCAAAGTAATATTACAAAAAAAAAAATTATCTTAATTTCTATGGACTGAATCTACAATTTTTGGTTTAGTTTTTTATTGTTTTGTTAAACACATTGTAATTTTTCAATAAATATGAAGTATTAAAAATGTTGTATTTATTTTATAGTAGGGACCTAATATACACAATTGTGATAGGTCCTTTTCAGAAAAAATTTTTTTACGAAAAAATTAAAAAAATCACTCAATATCGCATTAAAAGGAAATAAACCTAAACCTAAATTTTGATCAAAATTTTGCCTTAAAATGTGATTGGTTCTCAAAGGGATATATATAATTTAATTTTCTATTTAATATTTTAAGTTCTTCTCTCCACTGTTGGCGTTTTCATAACCTTTTTTCTATCGGAGTACGAAATTTAAATTTATATAGTTGTTTGTACCCATTTACTTGTTTTTTTCGGTTTACATTTTAATGAAAACACCCAAACGTATGGTATACGTCAATGTATCCTGCAAGAAACAGCTCGTTCCAAATTTTTCTTTCTCTTAAGTAAAAAGTTCGGATTGCTAAGTAATCCTAACGTATCAGTCCTTTCAATCCGCAAAATAAAGCTAGCGTTTTAACAAACGAACCTAAGGGTCATATTTTCAGTGCAAGGATGTCACCCAGCTCTTAAATAGGAACACAGTTTACGTGATCTAAGTTTAAACTGGCACTGAAAAACTGGCCCTAAGATTATGCAGAGGGGGCAATTTGCCATCACCAATAACATTAGGCAGTTGCTTGCAAGGAAAATGTATTTACCAGTACACACCGCCAGAATCCAGCTACGTGACTACATCTGAACTGCTATAAGTTTCTTACGGGATATATTATCTGCTAGACGACAGAATAAGACTTACTTGCTATTAACTCTCTGAGATCACATTTATGTATTCGTATTGATATTTTTCATTAGGAACAAAATTCTATGTACTTAAATATATAGAGCTATAAAAATACTTACAAACATAAGTTCGCGGAACTACATACATA